GCTAGAGACTATACAAGTTCTATTTTATACCACTCTCGTGATTGTTTTATAGAACATTTATTATAGAGTTAAAACATATTTAGTAGTGTTATGTATAAATAAAATAATAAACAGATAATATTAAAACATAATTTATATTAGAAAAAAAATATGGTTTTTGTATAGTTTTATATGTAAATTTTTGAAAAAAAGTATTTGGAACCATGCCGAACCTCCCGATGCTAGGTACGAATTGAATGTCCCGTCTCTAGTGACACTTCTGGTAATCGCTCGGGCTACTACGTTCGAAGTCACAGTTTCTAGCTCGAAGACACAGCTATCGAAACCCGCCTTCGACCTCAGAATCTGGTAAAGGAAGTCTCTGTATCTCGGTCATTCTAGGGATTTCAATATAGCATCATGAGAAGCTTTGCAATCAATAGCAAATACCACCTTTTAATGCGCAGGTTATGCAGACTTTGCATAGCCCAAATCAAACCTCTGAATTGTGCAGTGATCCTATTTCTTGAGCTAGTGAAAGCTTCATGAGAATGGTGTAAAATAGAAATACTCTCTAGCAACCCATGCCACAATGAAGAGACGAGTTTCTCCAACAACTATGAACATTACATTTAATTATGTTCTGGTTCCGTTTTTGTCATATATTCTCCCTCCCTCTGCCTCGTGATGGGTTATGATCGTTTGTTGGTTCACCCCCCTTGACTTCCTTCCAACATTTAGCATCCTCAATCGATCTCTAAACCACCAAACTCAAAGGTTCCTGATTTCCTACATATAAGATAGCATTGGGTTTTTCCATATATTCCATAGAATCCAGGGGATTGATGCATGATCGTCTGTTGCAGGTCCATTCGTCTCCAGTAAGTTGAAAACAGAGGATAAATACTCTTCAACACAATTTCCAAAGCTTGCTAGAGTAGTAGAAAGACCTACAATATCCTAAATCTGTTGCGCTACCGAGCATCGGAATAAGACATGATTAATCGTCTCAATTTCTTTATCACACAGCTTACAAGTGGGGTTCACCTGAAGACCTCTCGAGTTTAATCTATCAGCTACCGCTACAATCCCTGACAACACTCTCCAAAGGAACATACGTATTTTAGAGGAAGTTTTGAGTTTCCACACTCTTAGTTTTACTTCCATACGTTTACTGTCTTAAGAACTTGGAGGAGATGGTGGAATTAACGGATGGTTTGTTGTATACCAATAACCACTCTTGACCGTATATGAACCATGATCGGTATAAGCCCATATAACTTTATCTTGAACACCTCTTACCAGAATTTGAAGAATCCGAGAGACTTTGGCTTCTGGAAAAAGATCATTAAGCATGTCGCATCTTTACTGCTTATCCGATGTTAACAATGCATCCACCTCTAATTCAAGATCAATTAAAATATGCTTGTTAGTAGGACGTCTTGGATTCGAATCCATCACCCATTTTTCTATCAAAACTTTGGTGTATAAACCGTTCCCGATGGACTTTATCAATCCTATTTTCAAAAGCTCCCTACCATGTATAATACTTCTCCATGTCGATATCCTTTCCCACAATCCAAGAACTCTCGTGAAGCATAAA